GGGGGGGGGGGAGTCGTTTTCGGTCAAGCCACACAGGCAAGACGCTGTTACGCTACCGCGAGGTAGGCACTCGGAGAATCTCGTCCGGGACGTCGTGCTCTCTCGAGGCCGTGTCGACACACAACGACAACACAATCACACCCAACGGCAACCACGACCCCACCAGAAATGTTCAATGTAGACAGCGTTCGAGTAAGGGTCGAGTCGGCTCTTCATAGGGGTAAGGTTGGAAGGGTGGTGCGGCGATGGACGGGGATGAAGCATACGAAACGAGTCTGAAAGCGATGGGAAGGACCAATATTGGCCGTTTCTGTCGTTGGCGTTGAAACCAAAGGTTGACTCAAGAAAATAGTGCTGGAAGCTACCCTGTATAAGTCCGAGAATCCAGACAACAGCAAGCGACTGAGTGGGTGGGATGTCGCTCGAATCCAACAAGCGCGCAGCGGTGGTGGCTCGGTTTAAGGGATTTCGGGGTGAGCAAACGGCTCATTGTATCAGGAAATGTTTGAGGCTTTACCCTCAGAAGCATCTACTGTAGCTAGTACATTCACCCAGGTCGAGATTTTAACCTCAGAAGCATCCACTGACATTCACCCAGCCAATGCTCAACGGAGTGCCTTGTCGTGCCCACCATTGATTGAAAAACCTGAAAGAAATTTGCGGTGGTTTTTTGAGAGAGTGTCTCCTCAAAAACAATGGCGAGGAGTGGCCAGGCTGAAAGAAAAAGGGGGGAGAGTCATCGTACGACCAAGACCAAACGTCACGAATATCGGGCGAAGATGTACCCATGGAACTGGCTTGCATGTTTCGGAGGGACGTTTCCCTCGACCTGAGACAGACAGTACTGTTTCTAAGCATCCTTGTCGATAAGTGAGAAGCTGTGGGTGGACGGAATTCTCAGGGGTGGGCGACAGAGAGGGCCAGTGGTACCATCAAGAGAGTCAAATGGAAAGGATACACACACATCCATCTGTTCTCTTGATTCGGCGCGGGACACCACTAAACTTGTTCCATTTCAAAGCCGTCGGTGGTGGCTTTTCGAAAGCAGGTGTACCACCTCCGTGCAGTAGCACGCTCGTGTACACTTCAATCCCAAATCCGTGCATCCAACCTCAACCAACAGAAATTGCCGGTGGCCGAGGAGGTGTTTTAACTTATCCCCCTTCACAGGCCGGTTGCGTTTGTTGCACCCCCCGTAGCCTCCCGCCCTCCCTGCGCTCCAAGCACCCCAATCAAGAGCGTTGGTGGGGGTCTTTATGGCGTCCAACGCAGCGTTCTGCTAGATGAAGTGCAGAACCTAAGACTGTGTTCCGCACGATGAGAGCACGAGTTTTGCTCTTGCACGCTGTGCTTTTTGACGCTCCCCAACCCGTGCATTTCGTTGCTCTCTCACACGGTCACCGTCGTCATGGTCCGCGCCAGTCTATTCGACCGAGCCCTTCAGAATAATATTTCGCCGAAGCAAAGAGCAGCACCAAGTGAAATCAACCGCTGGCGAAATGCGATGATGTGAACCAGGAATCAAACATGCAACGCTTAGTTTAGAAGATGACACATTTGGGTTTCCAAGTGACGCGCAGGGCGTGAAAAACACGCGTGTGGTGCCTGAATGTTCTCATTAAACGTAAATAGAGAGTGTATCCAGATAGTCGCTATCCTACGAACAAAACACGTCCCTCTACACAAGCACTTTCTGCCTGCAGCTGCAGCTCCCTTTCTTCCACCCCATCGATTGACCTACCGATAACTCAATTCACGCAGACTGTCCATCTTAACCCAACATACACAAGATACGACGCCATGAAAAACGAAAAAAAAGTCAGGGTAAGCACCCGCACGACAGAAATTAGAAAACTGCAACACCCCACGAACAGCGGGTACGTTAGTCAGATATTTCGCCCCGGCCGCTTTTCGGCAGTTCTCAGACTGTCAAGCCATGCCTGTGTTATTACCCGACGTCCCTTCCCCCTCCAGTTGGCTGTTTCACTACTTTGTTCTAGCTTCGAATAAGAATACGTAAATTGAACTGAACTACATGCATGCGTATGCGTATTTATCATTGGCGTGGCATGGTGGCGGGATCACGAATGCGACGAAACAGAACAGCGGAAAAAAACTCCAGAAAAAATGAACTAGTAACAATATCGAACAGACGCGGCAAACACACACTTGTACACAGCCGTGCTCCGCTACACTGCCGCGAAGTTGGCGAACAAGTCAACCTCTTCGCCGCCCTTGGACTAAATACTGGATTCGCACAAAAATACCGAGCCACCTTTACAGGATCTGCTGACAATGCCACTGCTGTCCCACGACAACGAACGCGTAAAAAGATTCCACAGACTCCGCTGTGCGTAAACGAGTCGGAACCCTCTCTCTCCCTAACGCTAGAATTCTTTCTGACACAGTCCCTCCCTCGATACCCTCGGCAAGACCCCATTCGTGCGTTGACATGAACATGTTTGCCCACAAGACAAGAGACGGACAACATGCCCTAAGGTGGTACATCAACCACGCGCACGAGGTTAAGAGCAAAACGGAACAGCCGATTGAACATGAACGCTGCAGCCCCATTTCCCTTTCCCTCGATTTTCCACGTTCACGCTTCAAGCGTGGCCATCGCTGCAATTAAATCTTCCAAGCTTGAATATATCACGAATAGCCCTGCCCTCCCCCCTCCCCTTCAAACAGGCTCATCACCACGCCCAGCGCCGGGGCCATTCAACGGTGGTAGCGGACACCCTCCCCCTCTCTTTCCCCAAAAACAATGAAACCCTGAACGTCTCAAAAAGAAACTCTTGATATACAAAAGAGCGGAGTAAATCATCTCGTTTCACCCCTACCCCCCTCCAACCGACAGCACAAAGCCTTTGGACTTTCATCCACCGCCACGGCCAGCTCAAAGGATTCGGGATGGGGGGCCTATGGTGAGGCCCCGCCGCCCCTGTTGTATTGGACCTCCTGAAACGGCGAAAACCCTGTAACACCCATCGCGGGACTGTCAGGATGAAAAGGGGGTCTTGCAGAAATCACTCTATAGCACCTAACCACGGGTTGTGCACTTCTCCTCCTGCGCCCCCCCCTCAACCAGAAGCACCAGCACCTCCCCCGGCCTTGGCCGACAAGTCCAAGACCGGTGACACCAGCTCCCACATGGGTCTGCCCACGAACACTACCTCGTGCGTGTCCTTGTCGTTTACCCCCTCGTCCCTGACGGCCTCTTTGATAGCTGACGCGCACTCTCGAAGGGCGGGAGCGGGGCTCGAGTCGATGTCTTCCGGGTGGCACCTGCATCGTCAACGTTGCCATTGATGGACATTTTTAGTCGTGTCAGGCACACAGCAGTAGTCGTTTACATGCGCAGCGCTGTCGTAGTTATCGTCACGAGTTATCGATACTGTCTCTTGTTGTCAATTGTTCGTGAAGGCGTTGAGTGGGTGGGAGTGATATAGCAACGGAAGGTGCGCGAGCTACGGATGACGGGTGACCGAAGCCTGTGATCTACTTCTAGGCTTCTAGGTATTTCTGGCCCACGTAGTTGATCCTTTGGCGTCAGGGAGCCAGCTGGCTACAGCAGACCAGCTCCACGTCGTGCACACCGTGTGTACGTGTGGGAATACAAGAAGTGCCCACCTTAGGAAAGCGAGTGGTGGAAAAGATCACGTGCAGCTCCCAGAACCACCGCTGGTGATGTTCAGAAAAAACACGAGAATATGGCTCTTGAAGTGCGACACATTTTCAGCTTTCTTTCGCGTACCTAGTATCCGCGCTGCCACCCCATTGCTTATAGAGAGGGGGGTGATATTCGGCGAATAAGTTTAGCCAAATTAATCGGCACGCACAAATACCTTCCTTAGACCGGTGCTTGAATCACCACACCGCGCCGCACGCCACTCGCCTGGTGAGGGTAACCTCGAAGCGGACCACGAAGTCTCCGGCATCGTCGGCACCCTGGAAGAGGGAGTCAAGCACCACGTCAACCGAAGACCGTGCCCTCAGCCGCTTCACGGCAGGCACGAAGGCTTCTTCCAGGCGGGCGGTGGCATCTTCCAGTTGCTGCGCGTTCATCCCGCAGGAAGCGCCCCCCTGCGGAGGTGCCAAGGCGCGCCAAGTGAAACACGGGCGGAGAAGGATGTCGAACTTGAGGACGTCGTCAGAGGCAACTGCGCGGAAGAGGAAGTGGGCACGAGGTCTTGGGTGTGCTGAATTATCGTGGGATTGCGATGCTTTCGAAGCAACACCCCCACTCACTTGCCCGCCAGTTTTTTTATCATGGGGTTGATGGTGTTCCGTGGATCGTTGCATGGCAACAGAGCGCAAGCGAAAGCGAAAAACAAAACAAAACAGCAGGACATCAGGAATGACGACATCATAAGAAAAACCTACAGGACAAAGCTACATGTAAGCGTGAATAATGCGCCGGCGTCACTGCCGCGACACCCAGAATGACTTCAACGGTTCGTCAATCAAGACGGTTCGTCTATCAAGATGGCTTGTTATCGCCCACCGGAACTTATCATCTGCGGGAAGGTTCCGGTTGGGATTCATCAATAAACAGTATGCCAAAACATCATACAGATAGAAACGCCTGCGCACCTGGAGAACCCTGAACTCGCAGTTCGTCTCCTCCAGGAAATGTGACACCAGACCGGCGGCGAAGCCTCTGCTCGTGTAAAGTAAAACACACACCAAGGTACAGCCAGTAGGCGGGGCGGCAGATAGGGGGCGGTTAGAGAAACAGGCAAACGAACACGAGCACAGGCGGATCGTCAGATCGTTGTGGTCGTTCTTGCAGGCACGGTATGAACAGCACTAGAGAAATAACAAAAAGGTGGGCTCGGCTCTCTTCTCTGCGATACTGATAAACACGTCGACACTTTCAAAAACGACGACTGCTGTCACTTAAGGAACAAGTGGAGTTGTTGAGAAGAGACAACAATTGGAAAATTTCGCTTCACCAAAACCCGCACGCAGGCATCGAGGAGGAGCGCACGTTTGTGTCACGACGACCGACCCAAGTCTCAACTCTCCTTGCCGAGTGACATCGACGGAACACATCGACCATCCGACACATTGCATATCTACACCCGAAGACAAACTACTAATAACACCCAGAAACAAAGGGGCGCTACGTAGAGATAGCGAAACTCAGTCATTTCCCACCTGGCCCACGGCGGACATGTTTTATTCAAAGGGTGCGCGTGTACGGGGGGGGGGGGGGGGGG